TGCTTCATGAATAATTGCCTACATCCCGAGAAAAGAATGGAGTCTACTTTATTATCAGAGATTACAAAATCTAGTCTTTCTCGCATTCTGCAAAATCATTGTATGAATTCTTCTCTTGATCTTACAAAAAGACTCTCTGAACTCAAGGATTTCACCTTTGTTTCAAGTTTACACCCTGTTTAATAACCCTTCACAATTAGTCGATATTCATATTTCTTACAACGCTCACACTCCTAGACCTGATAGACACCATCTTTTAAAGATTTCTACCTGAATACAAAAAATAAAATAAAATAAATACCAAAAAATAAAAAAATAAAAACGTAAAAAAATTAAAGGCCCCTTCTAACGTAAAAGCAAAAGTCGCTATGATATCACTTGTAAGGAATCTAGGTTACTTTGAATCCCGAACAATGACTATAACATTGAGGATTTCATAGAAAAAATTTAACCTCACAGTGAGATAATCAAAATAATTGACAATCAATGCAGGCAGGAAGCGGTAATGTGCCTTCCCTCACTGGAGGAGGGGAATATACTTTATTAATTTAAAGAAAAATTAAAATACATATATATTACATTCCTCTCAATGATCTATCTCAAAAGTAGTTCATCTGTAAATCCTCAAAGAAACATAGCTTTCCTCTTGAAAATACTTACAAGAGTAGAGTTATAATCCGAAAAGGATTTTGATTCTGTTGGAATATCAAATTAAAATGTTAGAATAAATGAGATTAATAGCATGAGTTTTAGAAGTGCAAGGGTCATAATTTTGGAAGGGGAAGAGACATAGGTTATGGAAAAATAAGAGTTACTCACTCCTTTATGATATTTTATCTTTATGACATTAAAAGATGAGTTTAATTTGTAACTATTGGTATGCCTATACATTTTGTTTTTGAACCCTATATAAAGGGCTATTGTAATCATTGTTTCATCAAGAAAAAATTAAAGAAATAAAAGTAAGTTTTTTGTCTTCATTTGGAAGAGTTCTAAGTTCGTAAACTTTAGAGTCAACAGTGGTATCAGAGCCACTTGATCCAATTTTCCCATTCTCTCTTCTTCTCATGGCTACCACAAATAATCTTATCAATCTTCAAGTGCTCAAATTATCGAAAGATAACTATGAGAGTTGGTCAATCCAAATAAGAGCCTTATTTGGTTCTCAAGAGTTATGGGAGCTGATCATTGATGGGTTCACGGAACCTACACCAGCAGTAGAAGCCACCTACACCGCCGAAGATAAGAAGGCTCTCAGAGAGCAAAGAAAGAAGGATAGCAAGACTCGTTTTCTACAGTTATATCTAATGTTCACAATATTTTCATTCAATGATGAAAACCAAAAGGCATCAAAATAAAGTGTTAACTCTTTATTCAGAGGATGGGAGAAGGCTTACTGATATGCCAGAAATTGCAGCTGAACTTGTGGAATATTATAAGAAAATGCTGGGTAGCAAAGTGGACACAACATTGCCAGATCCTGCAGTTATATCTAATGGTCTTATTCTCACAGATTCCCATAGAAGTACTCTAGGATCTCCTATCACTAAAGAAGAGATTAAGCAAGCTGTATTTACAATTTCTGATGAAAAGGCCCCTGGACCTGATTGCTATAGTGCATCCTTCTTCAAAAGTGATTGGAGTATCATAGGTGAAGACATGATTAAAGCTGTGTAGGAATTCTTCAAGTCTGGTAAACTTCTTGTCTCTCTCAACACAACAACTATCACACTAGTTCCTAAAGTTCTAAATCCCAGCTCACCTTCTGATTTTAGACCAATCTCTTGCTGTAATTGTGTCTATAAAGTGATCTCAAAAATAATGACTGCTAGAATTCAGAAAGTTATAGGATATATAATTGATGATGCACAAAGTGCCTTTATCAAAGGAAGGATTGTCTCAAACAATATCCTACTTGCACATGAGCTTGTCAAACATTATGGTAGAAAACACATATCTCCAAGGGCTACTCTCAACATAGATTTGAGGAAAGCTTTTGATTCAATAAGCTGAAGCTTTATCAGGACCATGCTAACAGAATTGGGGTTTCTAGCAAATATGGTTGGATGGATTATGACATGTGTAACTACTACAAAATTTTCTCTATCTCTCAATGGGTCACTGCATGGATATTTTGAAGGAGCAAGGGGATTGAGGCAGAGTGATCCTTTATCACCATACCTGTTTGTTATTGGGATGGAGTATCTGTCCAGGAGATTGAAAAATCTCAAAACTGATACTTTGTTCAAATACCATCCAAAATGTTCTAGAATGAGAATAACACACTTGATCTTTGCAGATGATTTATTGCTATTTTGCAGAGCTGATATGAACTCAGTTTAGTAAGTTGCATGATTGTCTTCAAGATTTCAGCAGGCTATTTGGGTTGGAGGCTAATCCAAATAAATGTGCAGTGTACTTGGGTGGAATTGAAGATATTATCAAAGACCAGATATGTTCTCACCTAAATTACCCAGAAGGCTCTATGCCAGTCAGGTACTTGGGGATGCCCTTGATTTCAAAAAATCTTACTCATCTAGACTGCTCACCATTGTTAAGCAAAATTTTAGAATAGTTTCAAGGATGGCAGAGCAGAAGGAATCTATCTTATGCTGGAAGAATTCGGTTGATTAAATCTGTCATTGTAGGGATACAGAATTACTAGACAAGTAACTATGTGTTACCCATCAAGGTTCTACAAAGAATTGATAAACTGTGCTCTGACTTCTTATGGAACTGCAAGATACATTTAGTCTCTTGGTATGATATATGCAAAGATAAGAAAATGGGAGCTCTAGGATTATATACTGCAAAGGATTAGAATCATGCAGCTGCAATCAAATTGCTATGGATGATTCACATCAAAAAAGATATATTGTGGATTAAATAGGTGCATGAAAATTACATACACCAACTGGATATATGGCAGGTTCAATCTAAAGGAACCGATTCTTGGATGTGGAGGCAATTACTCAAAGTAAGAGATATGGCACTTAGCAAATTTGGTGATAGAAACAATCTTCAAAGAGCTATGGAAAATTGTCATGTAAATGGAAAATTACAGATATTAGGTATATATAATGCTCTGACCCTTTCAGCAACTTATGCTACATGGTAGGATACAATTTAGGGAGGCTTACACTATCCTAAACATTCAGTTATACTATGGCTAATCACCCTCTCCAGGCTACTGACGAAGGATAGATTATGCAAGATGGGAATGCTAAATGAAAATCAATGTATCTTGTGCTCAGCTCAACAGGAAACATGTAAGCACCTATTTTTTGAATGTCAGTATTCAGCACACATTTGGAATGAAATGATGGAATGGTTAGGCTACTCATGGAGATCATGCAGCTGGGATCAAGTTATGAACTGGTACAGTACAAATCTGAAAGGAAAGGGATTCATGAAGAAGATAAAGAGAATGACATTGTCGGCTACTGTCTATTGGATTTGGAAGGAAAGGAACTTAAGAATCTTTCAAGGGAAGCTCCATACACATGCTCAGTTGGTCAGAGAAGTGAAAACTTCAATCTTAACAAAGGTGCTAAATGAAAATATTTCTGAACATATAAAGGATAAAATAGGAAAAATGTAAGAAACAGATTATTTTTTTTGTTTGATTCTTACCAGAGATGAACTAGTAATGATTTGATGTATTTGCACTTTCAAATTTTGGGAGATGAATAAAATTTTAATTCATTGACCAAAAAAAAAAGACTCGTTTTCTACTCTAATAAGGGTTGGACGAGTCTACCTTTGAGAGAGTTGCCGAAGCAACGACGAGCAAGGAAGCATGGGAAATCCTTGCTACCATCTATGAAGGTGTTGAGCGGGTGAAGCGAATTCTTCTCTAAACTTTAAGGGGCGATCTTGAAGCCGCTCAAATGAAAGATGAAGAAAAAATCTCCTATTATTTCACGATTAATTCTAATTGTGAATAAAATGAGGAGAAATGGAGAGAAGATGGAGGACATCCGAGTGATGGAGAAGTTGCTCCAATCCCTCACATCAAAATTCGAGCACGTGGTAACAACAAATGAGGAGTCAAAAAATTTGGAGGAGATCTCAATAGAGGAGCTTTGGGGTTCTCTCCAAGTTCATGAACAACGAATGCAAAAGAAGGCTAGTTCCATAGTTTTGGAGAAAGTACTAGAGTCAACATTGACTCTAAGTAATCAAGGCTCACAAGGTAGAGGTCATGGTCGTGGTCATGTTAGAGGCAGGGGATGTGGTCTCCAACAACAAACCACTCAAAATCAAGTGGACACCTAAAGCTTTAGAGTACGAGGACGAAGCAATCGTGGAAGATCTACACCTAGGCATGGAAACAATAAGAATATTCAGTGCTATAGTTGTCACAAGTTTGGGCACTATGCTTCAGATTGTTAGCACAAAACTGAAGACCAAACCAATCTTGCCGAAGCAACAAATGATGTGGATAACAACTCTACGCTTCTTCTTGCTAATGATGATTCAAGTGTTGAGAAAGATGCTTGGTACCTTGACTCGGGTGCTAGCAACCACATATGTAGGAAAAAAGAACTTTTCATGGAACTCGCAGAAGGAGTTCATGGAAGTGTGAGCCTAGGAGATTCTTCAAAACTCCCGGTTGAAGACAAAGGGAAGATTAAATCTACCAAAAGGATGGTAAGCCCGAGTATATTTTCGATGTTTACTATATTCCTAAGATGAAAAGTAATATTCTTAGCATTGGTCAATTACTCAGAAAGGGATATAAAGTACATATGGAGAACAACCATCTTTGGTTGAAAAATACATATGGAGGCCTCATAGCTTGTGTTAAGATGACAAGGAACCGCATGTTTCCCTTGCATTTAAACACAAGAGTCGACAAGTGTTTTCAAGGACTCATAGAGAATGAGTTATGGAGGTGGCTTCTTCGCTGCGGCCATTTAAACTTCAGCGGCCTGAAGTTACTGTCTACAGCTGGCATATCACTATTCGAGTCACAGAAGCTCATTTGATAATGATAA